GAAGTGTTAGCATGTGAAAGTGGGCACGATTCCGATTACTTTGGCGGACGGGTAAAAAAACCGAATTTCCGTATAAATGGGGTATGTCCGGATAGGGGAGCTTCTCTAGAGGAGGAATATCCAAAAATAATATAAAAATTACTTATATTTTTTTTTAAATTTTCACTATTAAAAGTTCAAAAATATGTACTAATAACACAAGGTATTTCTCTATCTTCCATTAAATTTATTCACGTTTTTCACTCTGTATATTTAAATATACACTCTAAACATTGAAATAAGTTCACATTTCAATTTTTTTTTTAATATTTCACGTAAGTTTATTAATTTAAAAACCACTTAGGGACCTCGGCGTTGCAAAGGTTAGATTGTTTACCATTATTGTCACATCTTAAACACCAAATATGTAGGATTCTTAACGATTTTTCTTTGTTTGTTTTTTTGCGTGATTCTTTTTTCTACATTAATTATAATAAAAAATACTTTCTAACATTTTTTAAGTTAAAATTGAGTTGTGAAAACTTTTTCCACATATTATACATTTTACATATAGTATGCATATGTATAATATGTGATTTATATTTAATAAACACATATAAATCAAACTCTATGATAATATAGTATTATAAAATTTATATAATATCATGTCGGGATGACTGAAGTACTTTCGCGTAGTACCCCTTTCTGTGTTGGCGGGTGGACTGAAGTACTTTCGCGGAGTACTCCTTTCAGCGTTGGCGGCCTTCGGCCGCGCTTTAAAAAAATAACCCTGGCCGAGCGAATACCCGGGTGAACTGAGTACTTTCGCGGAGTACTCCTTTCTGCGTTAAAAATAAAAAAAATATATATTGAGTTTTTGTTATAAAGTGGTTAAATTTGTTGGTTACCATGCACTCATATTGAACGAAAATTTGAATTTTCGTACTGTACTAATATACTTTACACTTTATTACTTAATATTATTATATAATATTACTAATACATGTATATAATATTACTTATTTGCTCAATAAATTTAAAAAAGAAAATATCCATATGCATGAATAGAGGAATTTTTGCGAAAAAGAGGAATTTCAGCGAACTGCCTTATCATGGCAGCGCTCCATTTCGTCGTAATTTTTGGTAAACAAATGGGGTTAAAACGAGTGCAAAATTTAATTTTTAAAATTCAGATTTTTTAGGTAAAAAACCTGCTAAAAGTGTCAGATATGGAGTTATTTACAATTTTATAGTATAATTTAATTAATTTGAAGTGAAAAATGTGAATAAAGTGTGTTTAATGTGGTGAAATAGCGTCTTGAAATGTACGAATTTTGCGAATTTTTGAACTTTAAGGTCGAATATCTTCTAAACTAAGCGTTTGCGGTACCCATAACCCTAATCAGGAGGACTTGTGCCGAAAAGTGCATAACATAGGTGAAAAAGTTATTCACGATATACAAATTATCAATTCAAAAGTTTTAATTCTTTTAACTTTAAATGCAAATATCTTTAAAACTATAAGTCAGCGGCAACTATATATATATATATTTTCGTGATCTGGAGAACGTCACCTTTCCAGTGACACCCATTTTATCCCCGAAATTCGGGGATGCTATTCTAAATTTTAAACACTATTTGAATTAAATATGTACAATTTAGCTTTAATAATTTAAAACTTACTCCCCTATTTGTTTGTTATACGCAATAGATTTGAATTTTCCAAATGGTCTGTAATATTAAAATTTTTAATTATACACAGAACATTCAATTCACAATGCTTACCTTTTCCTCCTTGTTAAGCTTTTTCGATTTCTCTATATAAAAGAAATTAATAATATACATATATATAGTATATATAATAGAAATTAATTATAAAATCATTCATTCATTGCTTTTCGCTCTTTGCTTATTGAGTTTGTTAAAACGGTATAACGGTTTGTTCTGCGTTTATATTACGCTCGTGCTTTGTTTGTGAATTAATTTTTTATCGTTTTATATCTTTTCAATCACTTAATTTCTTAATTTGTTAAACTAAAATTCGCGTTTACTATGGCCCNATAGATTGTTTTTATATTTTCTTCCGTAGCGTTAGAAAGGAGGGAAATCGGGTCTGTGTTGAAGTGGAATCTCTCTTATTCTCATACAAAAGCGTAATTGATGACGGAGAGTATGAGTGCCAGCAAAGATGGGCCAATGAGCGAACGCTTGCATGCTAGGTACTTAACAGTATTTGAGTTTTTAGTAATTCTATTTCTAATATATTGACAATGTTGTCTGAATGCACATTTACTATCTAGAATTAATCCAAGAAACTTAATTGTAGGAGAACATGAAATATTTACATTGTTGAATGAAATCGGTGCAAAATGACAATTATGTTTTTTACAAATGTAGAGTAAACTAGATTTTAAGTACGATATTGATGCGCCTGCGGGAAGGGACCATAGGGATAGTTGAGAAAGGATTTTTTCAAATGTAGAGGATATAGAACTAAGGTCAGAAGATTTTGAAAATAGAAKKAGATYRTCAGCATATAATTGATGCTGAATAATAGGGAAGGAAGAAAGGATAGAGCTGATTTCATCAAATGCTATAGTGAACAGAATAACTGATAGCGGTTATCCCTGAGGAGTGCCGTTATCCAAAGGAAGAGTCGGTGAAGATGTGTCAGAAATAAGAACTTTGATTTTACGTTTAGAGAAAAAGGATTTAACAAAACTAAATATACGGGGGCCAACCTTCCATTTGATTAATTGTCTTAAAAYTACATGTATGCCAACGCGATCAAACGCTTTTACAAAATCAAAGATTGTTTGCAATATGTGTTTCGTTTAATAATACTAAAGAGTGCTTATTAGACGAGTATTCAGAGGCGAAATTATAATCAGAAGAGTTTGACGAGAAAAATTTGGCGAATTAGCTATATCCTGTAGATATAGTAGATTGCCTTGAGAGGAGTTGATATGTATGAAAAATGTAAGTTTTAATTGGAATTTAATGTCTAGAATTATGTATCTATGGTATGACGCATGCTCACCTCCTGGGAAGAAACAGTACCAACTGCTGTCCGTTTTGTAACTCAACAACAACTGTGCTTCATATATTAGAATTTTGTCCAACACTGAAAGATAAGAGAGATTGTCACTTCAACACAGATCCAATTTCCCTCCTTTCCAAGGCTACGGAAAAAAATATAAAAACCATCTATCGTTTTCTTAAAGAATGTGATCTATTGACGAGAATTTAAGCCTACACATTTATTCAACGGACAGCTGATAGCCTCTGAAGCTAGCGCTGCATGTTTTAGCTTGTACATATGTTATTAACATTGTATAAGCTTTTATAAATAAATAAAAAAAATAAAAAAATACACAACAAAAATAGATAACCAAATTAAAATTACCCTACATATCGGATATAATTATTTGAAACCGAGCGCTATTGCAACATAAAAGGAATTTCAAAATGAAAAGGAGTGCTGAATTGCGTAGCAGCTATTACAAACAAGAGCGCAAAGCGTACCTCCTGAGCACAAGATGCAAGGTCCTTTCAGAAATAAAGGGATGATAAACTTATGTGCGGAACACAATGCTCGCGACAGATCCTGATATGATACAAATTTTATAATATTACCATAGAGTTTTAGTTATTTGTATTTCTTAAATATAAACCACATATTATACATATACATATGCTAATGGTAGGCACCTTGCCGCGGTGCAGAGGCTTAGTCGCAAGGCATACTCCGCACCCCCCAACCGGTGTGGGTGGTGCTGACTAGCACTCTCTCTGGCGTGGCGGAACCCCCAGTTCCCCGCTAAAACAAGCAGATCTGAGATCTCACCCCGCTGAGCCAAGGGTCGTACGAACAAGATGAATACGAACAAAAAAACAACAACAACTACCACCACTGGCGAATCGACAAGGCAACGCACAAGGACAATGGCTAATGGCCATGGATGACGACATGCCCTCTTGCAGCGGCGCCCGGCGTACAGCAGCGACGATGACCGCGGATGCAGCCCAAAGCACCACCAAGGGCCCCCCGAAATAGGCCTAGCCACTCAGAATCGGGTGAGTCTCATCGGGCAGACGCCGGTGGTGCACACAGGAGGAGGGGGAGGCGCAGGAGGGGAGGGCAGAGATCTCTCCCAACAACAGAAAAACCAGGCGGGTGCGATGACCATCGAAAGAAGGTTATGAGCGGTGCCTGCCTCAAGTGGTATCTGCGGTACCTCCGGGACGGGATGACCCCCGAAGCGGCGGAATCCCTGGCCAAAAGGAGATACGCAGATACTGGGACATCCCCCACAAAGGAGTGTGGCAGGACTACGTCTGTGTGTGCGCTAGGCAGCCGGTCTATGGACCGTGGCCAGGTTAGTGTATCACTGACCGAAATGCGGGGTGACGGGAAGGCACTCACCTATTCACAGGCCGCAAAGCGGAAGAGTGATCAGCTCACACCACAGGAGCCCCCTAGTTCCAAAAGGCTGAGAGGGCGGCACGAGAGCGGCCGGAGGCCAACCATCAGCACCGCTTCCCCCCGGGTGGAGGAGAGACGGCGCAGGTATGCGGATGCTGTCAAAGGTATCTGCATGGCTGTACTGCCTCAAAACTATCCGGCGGAGTCGCTGGAGTCGGAGCAGCTCACGGTGCTCCAAAATCTYCTCTTGGAAGAAGTATTCAGAGGCGATGAATACGCGGCGTCCTTCCTTGGGGTAGAATTTAAAGGTAGCATGTTGCAGGTGGACTGTATGGACGAGTTGTCCGCCAACTGGCTTTGGGAATTTGGCCCAAAGCTAGGAGGCTGAACCGGTCCTATCCTCTGTGCAAAAAGGGCGGAGGATCTGCCGGTCATGCACAGGATGACCATGTTCCTCCCCCGCAGCAATGACAAGCCGTACGAGTTTACCCTGGGGCTGATTAAGAACCAGAACTGGGGCCTTAGCATCGCGGCCTGGCGCGTCATCAGCAGCCAGTTAAAAGAAAAAGGTGACCTACGAGGATGGAGATTGTACCTATACATTGATGACGAATCGTATAGGTACGTCTGTGCTGCAAGCTTCCGCCTGTTTTACAGGTTCAGCATGGTGGTCATGAGGCCGCACAAACCCGTGACCACAGGGAGCAGGGAAGGCTGTCACCCAGTCGTGCGGCTGCGGGTCCAAACAGGACACAACAGTGGCAAACAAGATGGTGGAGAGGATGCAGGTGGACGAGGTGGCAAAACAACCGAGCGTAAGCGCTGAGCTGACTACGCTAGTCACAACCGCTGACGTCCCGGTTGCCCAGGAACCCGGGCCACCCTCCACCCAGGAACTCCTCGAGGGACTCAAAGGCCCCAAGACGGTACACAACAAGGTAATCTGGGACCTCTCTAGCGAGCGACCAAGAATGCATGCATAGTAGTCCGGAATAATGTCGACTTTTTCTGTATTTCAGAGTTCCTGACGCAGGACTTGGTGGCGGTACAGGCCAGATATTGGGAAGGCAGAGTCTTCGTCCTGGCATCAGCCTACTTCCCAGGGGAGGCAGCAGTAGCACCACCTGAAGTGGTGGTAAGGCTAGTGGAGTACTGCACGAAGTTCGGGCTGCCCCTCATTATCGGATGCGACGCGAACGCTCACAATGTAGAATGGGGAAGTACGGACTGCAACACAAGGGGTAAGTCTCTATTAGAATATGTATTAGGTAGTAACTTAGCCATTGAAAATGTGGGTTGCGAACCCACCGTTATAACTATAAGCAGGAGGGAGGTACTGGACATCACCTTCAGTAACGAGCATGCAAATGGATGGGTCTTTGGTGGAGGGTCTCAACAGAGCCCTCCCTGTCAGACCACAGAATTGTAAAGTTCGCACTGAAGGTTGAGGTCAGGCAACTTCCCCCAAGACGCAACCCTCGAAGGACCAACTGGAGTGCCTTCAGGGAGAAGCTACAGGATGAATTGAAAAGGAAGAGGCAGATCGATGATATCGTTACGGGCCCGGGAATAGAGAGCAGAGTGTTGGCACTGAACGGGTCTATCACTAAAGCTTACAACGGTACCTGCTCCCTAATAGTGCTGTGCAGATAGGCGCAATTGTCCCTGGTGGACAAAGAAGCTTGCAGACCTCAGGAAAAGGGTACGTAGCCTATTCAACAAGGCAAAACGTACAGGGGTCTGGGAAGAATACAGGAACTACCTAACCCTCTACAATAAGGAGATTAGTCAGCAAATCAAGCTAGCTTAAGGAGTTTCTGTGAAAAGGTCTCCTCCACACCAGAAGCGGCGCGGCTGCACAAGGCTCTGGCTAGTGGGAAGACTAACACGGAGCTAGCTATCAAAAGAAGTGACGGGACTTTTACGACCAGCGCGGAGGACCGGGTGACAGAGCTTCTGCGTGCTCACTTCCTGGTAGACCAATGTCTACCTGTGAGCGAACATAGGCCATCCCGCTCGGATTGGGTAACCGCTAGGCAATTAGTCACTGCGGACTCGATCAAGTGGGCAATGGCCTCGTTCGAAAAATTCAAGTCTCCAG